CAGGCGGGTGAGTGCAGGTGAGTATAAGGAGTCGAGCCGGGTGGCTCCCGGCTCCTCCGCTGCGGCGTCGTCTGCCAAGGGCCTCAAGAGACTTCAAGCGCGCTCACGGTCTTACCTTGGGGCGGCGGTGGTCCGGCTCGGTCTGGGAAAGAGACGGAGGACGGCTACCGGACTCTCGTCGGGGACGCCCGTCGTGAGGATGGAGGCCGCATTCCAAGGGGGCTTGCCTTCCTCTGTCTCTTGGTACGTTGGAGAAGTTCCTGGGCCGACGTGGATCGGGCGACGGATGCGAGACGCGACGAAGACGGGCGAGAAGCTTCGGACCGCGATGACGAACGCGATGAGGATGGTAGTGTAGGGGGCATTGGGAATGGGATCGGACATGGGATTGCTTCTTGGACTTTGAGCTCGTGGACTGTGCGCTTTTTTGTATGCTGGCTGCCGCTACAGGGACATGCTGGTCGTGTTCGTTCAGACTCCTTGGTCGCCCCGAAATGCTATCATCGTCGGGTCCGCCCCTCATATGCTATAATCTACTTCGTGTGAAGCGTAAATTGAGAGCCGTCAAATGAACCGCAGGCCTTGAATTAAAGTGTTCGAAGCGTGCAAACGTCGTTGTCCGTATGAGAAACCCACTTTGAGTCCCAAAAGTCGCTGTTGACCTAACGCTGGCCGGCGAGACATCCAGGATAATCCGAGGTACAGCGGAAGAAGAATAGACCGTGCTCCGCTCACCGGCACCGCTCACCAGTCGAGATCACGTGCTCCCGGTCGCAAGACACCAGTACTCGGGCTGCAGAACCAAGGCTAAATTTCTGGCCTTGACGGTTTGCGGTCATGTCTGGGCCGTCGTCTGCAACGATCTATCTGCCGTTAGTGCACGATGCGCAACTGTCATCCACACAATTACGTGTACCTGTGGGTCGGCGCGCACATGCTGTACGACGTCTCTCACTGCGCGTCTTTTTCTGTATGATGGTGTCGAGATGTGAAGCTGTTCTATAACATGTAAAGTATCCTATGCTACAGACGATGTCTGGCCTTCACCTCGGCGCTCCCTCGGGAATCAGTCGACGCCTCCAGTATCCCGAAGCTGGTTTCCTTCTTCATCCGAGTCATCCTCGTTCCCGGCACCTCCGCCGCCCCAGAATCGGTTGATCACCGAACGCAGGAAGCGCACAGGAAGGGGCTGCAGAGAGTACCTGTCAGTAGCCGGGCCCGCTTGACCTACTGAAGACACATACCGCAACTTCCTGCTCTTCCTCTTCGTCCTCGTCCTCGTCATCTCCATCTTCTGTTGCCGGGCGAGGCGGCACAGCAGGAGCTTCAGGACCGTCCTCCACGTCCTCAGGCTCGACAAAGTCGACCATAACCTCTCCGCCCGGCATTCCGCCAGGCATGCCGCCCTCGCGCGGAGCCTCCTCCATCGCTCCCAAAGCGAGGAACAAGTCTTCCAGCGCCTCCTCGGGCATCTGCCCCGCCCACTGCGCGAACTGCACGAGCCCGCCAGGGAAGCGCTGCTGGATCACCCGGTGCGCCTCCCAAAAGCCGACGAGCTGCGCACGGAACGCCGCGTCGGGCACGAGCCGCTCGAGCAGGCGCGCCTCCTGCCGGCGCGAGCGCGGCCGCGCGGCGAGCATGTCCTCGACTCCGCGGAAGAACTCGGCGTCGTACTCGGAGACGCGCGTCGTCGGGGGGAGCGGGTCGCATGCGAGGTGGCGCGCGTCAAGCACCGCGCGCGGGAGGAAGGGGAAGAGGGAGCGGCACGTGGGCTCATTTACAAGGACGTGGCGGTAGACGGAGTACGCGAGCGATGGGGAGTCGAACCGGGTCGAGAACGACTTGGGCGGAGCAGGGGAGGAGGTGGGGAGCGAGGGGAGCGCCTTGGAGACAGTCTTGGAAAACCACGCTGATCGGGTCGATGACTTCCAGAAGGACCCTGAGCGCTGGGCATACAGGTGCGAGAGGAGGTGGAAGATCGCATGACTGTCTGATAAGAGCATGCTACATATTCATGTGATGTCAGAGATGCGCCCATATTTTCCGGATCTACGTCGCAAGGATGTACCTATTGTCTGTCTGGATCCGAAAGGCAGGGTGGCTTCGTATATCTCCGCTAAGGGAGATGTCTGCCTTGTCGGCAAGTATGGGAACGACAGAGGGGAAGCGGCGGATAGCATCCTCCAGAGCATGTGTACTACGCTCGTGCATCTAGCAGAAGATCAGTCGAATGAATTGACATCGCACGTTCTAGCCTACCCTGTCGTCAGATTGTTCCTCGCGGATAAATAGAGCAAGAGCACGAGCGTATGCAAAGCCCGGGAGGACATTTGGAATGATACGACGAACGTATGGTGATTTGCCGTCTTTCGCCTCCTTCTCGAGCTCCGGCTCAAAGAGGTCCCATAGGTCAATCAGCCATTGCGTCATGCCCGTCTTGATGGCGAGATAGTCAAGGTGCAGCAGAGACCCGTGAGGATCTGTCCACGGATCCAGAGCATAGAGCAGTCGCGCAAACTCGAACGCCGTCCTCACACACCCACGCCGTTGCAAATCCCTGGATTGAGGACATCAGAGGTGGTCGCAGGCGCGTGCGAGTCTGCGTACGTGATCTGCCGGTGTAAGGCAAGAAACAACGGCCTGTTTTCGACGCGATCGAAGTCTAGGCGGTTGGATCCAATGGTATAGTTGAAGGCACCGACGAAGGCACGCTCGTACGTGAACAGGGAGCGGTCTACATAGTCGGCCGCGGTGCTGTGCTCTGTACAGCCCGAATGAGGAATCTGACTATGGAGTTCGAAGAGGTGCTTACCGACCTTCTCGATGATGGTACAACTCAGACAATTGAAGCAGAGTATCCGCATGGTACGGGAGGATGCGTAACACCTGCCAAAAGCCCTCCGGATCTGTTGGGAAATTAGGTCAGGAATCACAAGAAAGGTGCCGTGCACGTACCTCCCGACAATACGGTGCGCATGAAATCAAAAGTCACCGCACGATACTTCTTGCTGTACTCCACCGTCCAGATTTTCTCCCCATGGAGCGGTTGGCGGAGATGTCGACGCAAGCCCTCCTCAACCTCCTCATCTGACAGCTGCCTAACGGATAGGCCCTCGCGCAATTGGGCTGGCCACCAGGATGGTTTTGGTCGTGCGAGGTTGGAGCGTTGCACTGCGGACTGACGGGTTGAACTAGACGACGAGCTGCCCTTCGCTGCAGAGATGACCTTTGAACCAAAGAATTTGCGAAGCTCCGCTTCGCTGTCTAGATGTTGGACAGAGACGGACAGCAACGCCGCTAATGAGCGTGCGGTGGCGGGGGATGAGGAAGGACTAGTGGAGGACTTGAGTTGCTGCTTGAGGTCGGGGTACTTGAGCGAAAGCTCAGCCAGCGCCTTGTCAACTTCATCAAGCTCTTCTTTCGGCTTCTCCTTCGCCTTTTGCTTCTTGAGGGCTTTACGCTCCTTCTTGGAAGGACCAGAGGGTGTGGACGGAGCGGAGGCGACTTCGGAGTCGGGTACGAGTTCGGGCGTGGAGCTCACAGGGGGTATGGAGGCAGTTGACGTTGCACCACTAGTGGCCTTCTTTTTCTTTTTCTTCTGCTATCCCGAACTTCAGGGTCGGATCGCTAGAAATGCTGAAGGACAGAGCTCACGAGCCTTCTTGGACTTCGATGCACGAATCTGGGTCTCCTCCTCGTCCTCGCTCTCGTCATCATCGTGATGATCATCCATTAGCTGAAGAAGCGTGAGTGCGATAGATGGCCATCCGTAGGACGAACATCTTACTGCAGCGAACCCTCCAACGGGAGGGTTTTCAGGCGCTACAGGTGACCCGGCCTCAGACTGGACCTCGGATGCTTCATTGGCGGTTTCTTGGAGGGAATGGAGTTCCTCTTGCTCTCGCAGCTGACGCTTGTTAAGCCTCGGAGGCATGAGAATGGATCAGAAAGGAAGGATAGTTGGTAGGGAGGTCGTATGTGAGGAATCGTCGACTGAGAGGCGACGCCGATGAGGTCACGATGCCCTTCGTCTGGCGCTTAGACTTCCGCTTTTGGCTGAGGCTCGCCAATCCGTCCGCTTCTGCAAAACCCTCTTGGCATTTCCTACCGCAAGCTGTCCACCGTCGGCTTCACCCCACCCTCACCCCGCTCGTCTTGCGCTCGTTGACATGTCCATTCTCGACTCCCTGTACTCACTGACGTCAGGTCTTCGATTCTGAGTTGTAGCACAAGTCATGCGACATCCAACACGACCTGGGGCTCGCGATTGCGAACCCAGAACGTTTCGAACCGCCTAATGATTAGGTATGCGTTGGGTCTAGGTCCCATCCCCGATACCGCGATTCAATGCGTTGTTCTGCCTTTCATCCGCCGGGTCTCAGATACTATCACTTGTCGCTCATCGAAGACTGGGGTCTCGCCATCTCTCCTCATCGCTCCTCACCATGCGGATTGCAAAACGCTCCATCCGGTCCCTGACAGTTCAGTGTGGTCCATGTGATGCATCCACGCTTTGCTATCGCCCATCTCCAGCTTCGACGGCTAGTGTAGCTCCACTCCTCTTGCCATTTATGGGTCGTATGCTGGTCAATTGGCAGTTCCGGAGTCCGGACGCCCGTATCAATCGCCCTTCGCTTAACGCCTGCAGGCAGAGGGCAACCATGCGATCTCCAGCGATCCCCTCCTTCCAGGAATCAATGGCAAGGACAAGGATTGCCCCCGGGCTCTGCTTCTGATCGCCGCTGTTGTTCAGTAGCAGTACACCAAAGAACAATACCCATCACGTAGGTCCTCAGGTTACTGTCGTTACCGGTGCCGAGCCTTCTGAAGGATGCGCTATATCACAGGCTTCACCATCACTCCTATCTCTATACTTAGGCCCCGTTCCGTACGGAGGAGGAGTAGAATAGGGTTGGGTTACCAGCCAAAAATCACTATAGCCGCTCAGTCAAGTCAGTGATCGGAGTGGGGCTCCGGGCGGCTACCTGCGGAACTTTAGACCTATGTATCCGAAACCACCGAACGAGGCCTTATCATTCAACGCCTGGATGTTACCGCTCCAATGTCTGACCGGACGCATGTTGCTCCCCGCACAGTGGCACAGAAGCAGCGGAACCATGTGTTCGCCTTCTCCGGAGTGGCCCGATGATTCACTCAACCTTCCCCGTCAGAAGCACACGACCGTACGAGAGATGCATCGCCAAGTGAGCCTTCCATGGCGAAATCCAGATCGCGGGAAATTCAGGCGTATAAATGTTCGTACTGCAGGGGGCGATTCTCCAGCTCGGGATTCACCCAGTTCTGACAGCCTCCTCGAGACGACTGCCCTCGCCTTCTTTGCTCGCCGTCATGTTCGCTGCCTCCCTCCTTTGCCAGGTGCTCCTCGCCTCTGCGGCCTTCGCCATCCCCACCTCCAAGGAGCGTTTTGCCCAGCGCGCCGCCCGTCGTGCCTCTGGTTTTGCTCACCAGTCGCAGCCGAAGCAGTTTGTCTCTTCTGGCCCTACCATCGAGGGCCCTGCCGGCAACGTCTCGCACGTCGACTACAGCAGCAACTGGGCCGGTGCGGTGTTGGTTGCAAGCACGGTACATTCCCGTTTCAGCTTCGGAAGCAATGGTCCGCTGATGTGCCATCATCTATCCTGCATTAGGCTACCTACAAGTCCGTCACTGGCACGTTCACCGTTCCGACCCCTAAGGAGCCCTCCGGGGGCTCTGGCGAGCACTCTGCGTCCGCCTGGGTCGGTATCGACGGCGACACCTGCGGAAACGCTATCCTTCAGACCGGCGTTGACTTTACCGTGAGCGGCAGCAGCGTCAGCTACGATGGTAAGTAACCTTGTATTTTGTGACTCTCCGTATTTCCCCCGCTGATCGCAGACTCTACTCACAGCGTGGTACGAGTGGTACCCTGACTACGCCTACGACTTCTCCGGCATCAGCTTCTCCGCGGGCGACACCGTCACCGTCACCGTCACGGCGACCTCGAAGACGGGCGGCACGGCGACTATCACGAACAAGACGAAGGGCAAGACCGTCTCGCACACGTTCTCCGGCCAGCCATCGCTCTGCGAGTACAACGCGGAGTGGATCGTCGAGGACTTCGAGGAGGGCAGCTCCCTCGTCCCCTTCGCCAACTTCGGCACCGTCGCCTTCACCGGCGCATCTGCGGGCACCGTCAGCGGCTCGAGCGTCGGCCCGTCCGGCGCCACCCTCATCGACATCAAGCAGAACAACAAGGTTCTCACCTCGGTCTCGACCAGCGGCAGCTCGGTCACCGTCAAGTACACCGGCTGAGCAGCTGCTGTTGAAGAAGGAAAGGCCTGCGTTCGTCCGTTGCGACGGACGTGAGCCACGGACATTGGAAATGCCTCGCCCGTGTATAACATGTACCACATCTGTGTACTACGACGTGAGACGAATAATGACGACTATAACAATTTAGTCTGATCGAGTGAGGTCGATTTCTGATGGCGATCTTCAAGGTAGGTCGGTAGTCATGTGGTTCCGGAATCAGAGCGCCACAATTCTCTAGCTGCGTCCGCTGCCTGCTCCCAGGATCCATTAACGACCAGCCCGCTTCTTCAACTCATGCTTCCTGCTCGTGATGCGTTCACCGTGGGTTGTGTTGGAATCCTGGCGTCAAGATGGCGAGCTCGCGGAACGAGCGCCACAGGTACCGCCCCCCCGCGCCCTTATCTACCCCTATTTAGCTACGTATATAAGCCTTATTGTATCTACTGTGTACGGCACGCATTTGCACCGGCCAAACGCGAATCCCATTTGTGCCCGCTTGCCCTCGAACTTCTTCAGGTTGACCCGTGATGCGTACTGGCTGATATTCTTAGGTCCACAGTATGGGCCGAAGGAAGGGCAATGCTCTCCCTTGAGATTAGTACGATATCATCCTGGGTTTTGTGGTGGCACTTGAGAGTACGGTTGACCCAATTGACTTGAACCGCAGACCGGCGGTGACCGAATTCTGCTCTGCCAAAGTGCCAGTGTTATGAAGCCTATGTTTCAGGAGCCCGCAGAGGCGCCACGGGCTGCGAGACAGCCTTGCACGCGCGCCATCATCCCCGTATAATTCGTCGAGAACCTCCGCCACGCCGGACATGAGTGTGCGATCTGAGCACATCCAGCATGTATGCAGAGGAGTACTGGACTTGGAGGTGGGACTTCCTCGCCTTCATGAGTCGAGCCGTGAAATCGGACCTCGGACACAATACCTGCGAAATAAATTATGGGATCGCTGCGCGGTAGGTGTTTGCGATTATGTTCCCTTGATCGTCCTGAGGGACAATTACATTGGCGTGTCTCGCTGTCAGTTCACAAACAAAGGACGTGCCTTGGAGGGTGTCAACCACATGTCCAGCCCGTTGAATAGGAAGTGTGGATCATGAGACGTCATAAACGCGTTCAATGGATTATGCACATCTAGATTGCGTAGGATGCTTTCGATCTCAATACCCGCAAAACGATCCAGAACGGCGGCAGCAGAAGAAGCCCACTGCAACTATATGCATGTAGGGGTGCTCAATTCTTGTCGGTCGCTCAGTTGCTCGCGCGCCTATAGGGCGCCTGTCTACTTGAATTCAAGGTCAGCTCAAGCGCCTGCGGCACAGCGAGCAGAGACGGACAGGCAGCGGGTGCAACACGACCGCATGATGTCCCCGAGCTGGAACTAGAGAGCGACGCGAAAATCTAACGAAGCTGGAGAGTTCCTTGACTCGATATGCGGAGTCGTCCCACAAGGATTGAGTCCAGTTGCCATCGAGGAGTCAGAGCGGCACCCCCAGCTGAGCCGTATGTACATATGTCGTGCTGAATCTGTTTCTGATTTGGGCGCATTGTGTACAATAAGTCCAGGTCAACGAATTTATAAGCTCTCCCGACGTCACCATTCACTTGCTGGACTGGTTTCCCGGGCCTAACAAATATAGTATGGGACAATCCCGTCGAGATCTCTGCACCCGCTGCCGGCCCACCTCTGCTCGCTGTGCTGCAAAGGCTTGAGCTGACATTGAATTCAGGGAGGCAGGCGCCCGATAGGCGCGCGAGCAACCGAGCGACCGACAAGAATTGAGCACCC